AGTTTATTGTTGTTTTGCTCCACCTCCTCATAATTCTTATCCTATTTGTTACTTTTATTTTTTTTGTTATGTTTTGAATTTTTATTTTTATGTACGTAACTAATCTAATGTGTACTTTGATTTCTTTTGTTAGTGGAATGAACGAGATAATCTTGAAAGCGGAGTTTTGGGCCGAAAAGTTAAGTATTTCTATTTGTGCAAATTTGATTCGCTTTCTTTTACATGTGAAATGTGTTTTACACATGACTATTTCTACATCTTCTTGTGTTTCTTACTTGTAATGATCATTGTTTCTATTATTTTTAATTCCCAACACTCTTATTGTTCCACTGGTTGCTTTTCATTTTTCATTTTTCGTTATTGTTTTGATGTTTTACACAACCTATAATTGCACAACATTTTTTGGTTATATGTGCTTTGTTTGCTTTTCTGTTAGATTAATTATGTTTTATTTCCTTTTTTTGGGTTGTCGGTTTATAGTTTGCGTTGGGGATTAGGACTTGGGGAGTAGGGATTTGGAATTAGGAATTAGGGATTAAGGATTAGGGCTTTAGAGATTAGAGATTAGGGATTAGGGTATAGGTGTTAGAGATTTGAGTTTATTGTTCTTTTGCTTGTTATGCTCTACCTCCTCAACATTCTTATTTTATTTTTTTAATTTTTTCTTTTTATGTTTTGGATTTTCATTTTTATGTGCGTAATTAATCTTATGTGTACTTTGATTTCAGTTGTTAGTGGAATGGACGTGATAAGCTTAAAAGCAGAGTTTAGGATCGAAAAGATAAGTATATTTATTTGTGCAAATTTGATTGGATTTATTTTACATTTGAAATGTGTCTTACATGTGACTATTTGTACATATTCTTGTGTTTCTTACTTGTTAAGATCATTGTTTCTATTATTTTCAATTCCCAACACTCTCATTATCCCACTGTTTGTTTTTTATTTTTTGTTATTGTTTTCATATTTTACACAACCTATAATTGCGTAGCATTTTTTTGATTACGTGTGATTTGTTTGCTTTTGTATTTGATTAATTGTGTTTTATTTCCTTATTTTGGGTTGTCGGTTTATAGATAGAGGTTGGGGATTAGGGCATAGGGAGTAGGGATTTGGGATTTGGGATTAGGGATTTCGAGATTAGGGATCAGGGATTAGGGATTAGGGATTAGGGGTTAGGGATATGGGTTTATTGTTCTTTTGCTTGTTTTGCTCCACCTCCTCATCATTCTTATCTTATTTGTTACTTTTATTTTTTTTGTTATGTTTTGGATTTTTATTTTTATGTGCGTAACTCATCTAATGTGTACTTTGATTTCAGTTGTTAATGGAATGGATAAGATAAGCTTGAAAGCGAAGTTTAGGGACGAAAAGTTAAGTATATGTATTTGTGCAAATTTAATTGGTTTTGTTTTACATGTGAAATGTGTTTTACACATAACTATTTCTACATCTTGTGTATTTTACTTGTTATGATCATTGTTTCTATTATTTTCAATTCCTAACACTCTCATTATTCCACTGTTTGTTTTTCATTTTTCGTTATTGTTTTCATGTTTTACACAACCTATAATTGCATTGCATTTATTTGGTTATTTGTGCTTTGTTTGCTTTTCTGTTAGATTAATTATATTTTATTTCTTTTTTTTGGGTTGTCAGTTTATAGTTACGTGTTGGGGATTAGAACTTAGGGAGTAGGGATTTGGGATTAGAAATTAGGGATTAAGGATTTGGGCTTTGGAGATTAGAGATTAGGGATTAGGGTATAGGGGTTAGAGATTTGGGTTTATTGTTCTTTTGCTTCTTATGCTCCACCTCCTCGTAATTCTTATTCTATTTTTTTCTTTTTATGTTTTGGATTTTTATTTTTATTGCGTAACTAATCTATTGTATACTTTGATTTCAGTTGTTAGTGGAATGGACGAGATAAACTTGAAAGCGGAGTTTAGGATCGAAAAGATAAATATATCTATTTGTGCAAATTTGATTGGATTTATTTTACATGTGAAATGTGTTTTACACCCGACTATTTGTACATCTTCTTGTGTTTCTTACTCGTTAAAATCATTGTTTCTATTATTTTTAATTTCCAACACTCTCATTATCCTACTATTTGTTTTTTATTTTTCATTATTGTTTTCATATTTTACACAACTTATAATTGCATTGCATTTTTTTGATTACATGTGATTTGTTTGATTTTGTATTAGATTAATTTTGTTTTATTTCCTTTTTTTGGATTGTCGGTTTATAGATAGAGGTTGGGGATTAGGGCATAGAGAGTAGGGATTAGGGATTTAGAAATTAGGGATCAGGGGTTAGGGATTACGGATTAGGGGTTAGGGATATGGGTTTATTATTCTTTTGCTTGTTTTGCTCCGCCTCCTCATCATTCTTATCCTATTTGTTATTTTTATTTTTTTTGTTTTGTTTTGAATTTTTATTTTTATGTGCGTAATTAATCTAATGTGTACTTTGATTTCAGTTGTTAATGGAATGGACAAGATAAGTTTGAAAGCGAAGTTTAGGGGCGAAAAGTTAAGTATATCTATTTGTACAAATTTGATTGACTTTCTTTTACATGTGAAATGTGTTTTACACATGATTATTTCTACATCTTCTTGTGTTTTTTTACTTGTTATGATCATTGTTTCTATTATTTTCAATTTTCAATTTCCAACACTCTCATTATCCCATTGTTTATTTTTCATTTTTCGTTATTGTTTTCATGTTTTACACAACCTATAATTGCATAGCATTTCTTTGATTACATGTAATTTGTTTGTTTTTCTATTAGATTAATTATGTTTTATTTCCTTTTTTTGGGTATTTGGTTTATAGTTAGGGGTTAGGAGAGTAGGGATTAGGGATTAGGGATTAGGGATTAGGGCTTTAGAGATTAGGGATTAGGGATTAGGTATAAGGGGTTAGGGATTTGGGTTTTTTGCTTCTTTTGCTCTACCTCTTCATCTTTCTTATCCTATTTTTTTATTTTATTGTTTTTGTTATTTTTTGGATTTTCATTTTTATGTGCGTAACTAATCTAATATGTACTTTGATTTCAATTGTTAGTGGAATGGATGAGATAAGTTTGAAAGCCGAGTTTAGGAGCGAAAATATAAGTATATCTGTTTGTGCAAATGCGATTGACTTTCTGTTACATGTGAAATGTGTTATACACATGACTATTTCTACATCTTCTTGTGTTTCTAACTACATGTGAAAAGCACATCTTTTTGTTTGCTTTTCAGTTTTTGTTATTGTTTCATGTTTTACCCGACCTATAATTACATAACATTTCTTTAGTTATATGTGGTTTGTTTGCTTTTCTGTTTGATTATTTATGTTTTATTTCCTTTGTTTGGGTCTTTGATTTATAGTTAGGGCTTAGGTTGTAGGGATTTGGGATTAGCGATTAGTGATTAAGCCTTTAGAGATTAAGGGTTAGGGATTTGGGTTTATTGTTCTTTTGCTCCACCTCCTCATCATTCTTATCCTATTTATTTTTTTATTGTTTTATTTATGTTTTAGATTTTTATTTTTATGTGCGTAACTAATCTAATGTTTACTTTGATTTCAGTTGTTAGTGGAATGGACGAGATAATCTTGAAAACCGATTTTAGGAGCGAAAAGATAAGTATATTTGTTTGTGCTAATGTGATTGGCTTTCTTTTACATGTGAAATGTGTTATACACATGACTATTTATACATCTTCTTGTATTTCTTACTTGTTATGATTATTATTTCTATTATTTTCATTTTCCAACACTCTCATTATTCCAATGTTTGCTTTTCATTTTTTGTTATTATGTTCATGTTTTACAAAACCTCTAATTGTATAGCATTTCTTTGGTTATATGTGCTTTGTTTGCTTTTCTGTTAGATTAATTGTGTTTTATTTCCTTTATTTGGGTTGTCGGTTTATAGTTACGCGTTGGGAATTGGGAATTAGGGAGTAGGGATTTGGAATTAGGAATTAGGGATTAAGGATTAGGGATTCAGAGATTAGAGATTAGGGATTAGGGATTAGGGTTTAGGGGTTAGAGATTTGGGTTTATTGTTCTTTTGCTTCTTATGCTCTATCTCCTCATCATTTTTATTCTATTTTTTTCTTTTTATATTTTGGATTTTCATTTTTATGTGCGTAACTAATCTAATGTGTACTTTGATTTCAGTTATTAGTGGAATGGACGAGATAAGCTTGAAAACGGAGTTTAGGAGCGAAAAGATAAGTATATCTATTTGTGCAAATTTGATTGACTTTCTTTTACATGTGAAATGTGTTTTAGACATGACTATTTCTACATCTTCTTGTGTTTCTTACTTGTTCTGATCGTTGTTTCTATTATTTTTAACTCCTAACACTCTCATTATCCCACTGTTTGCTTTTTTTTTTTCGTTATTGTTTTTATGTTTTACACAACCTATAATTGCATAGCAGTTCTTTGGTTATATGTGCTTTGTTTGCTTTTCTGTTAAATTAATTATGTTTTGTTTCTTTTTTTTGGGTTGTCAGTTTATAGTTAGGGGGTTGAGAATTAAGACTTCGGGAGTAGGGATTTGGTATTAGAGATTAGGGCTTACGGAGTAGGGATTTAGGATTAGGAATTAAGGATTAGAATCGGTTTTAAATTATTGAATCTTTCCAGATAACCCATTTTTGTGTAATTGAGTTATAATCTCACCCTTTACTTTGTTGTAGATTTGGTTTGACCCATTAGAAGCATTTGTGACATAATTGCATAGTCCACACACAGTTGTGTGCACATTTGTGCGTAGGTAGCTTGGAGTGATACTGCACACACATTTCTGCTTCCATAAATGTTTGTCTTCAGACTTGGAATTTGCCAACAAGGAGATTTTCTTTAGAAGTTTTTGAATTTGCAAAAGTTACTGTGAATCTTGCTAATGGAAAAAAACTGGTTGGTGGATGAAGTACTGAGTTGGTGGATTTGCAGGTAAACACGCCGTTCCTTTATAGCTAAAGCCAGCTTGTAGGATGCATGCTGTATTAACAGGAGACATAGTACCCAGTTTTGACAAAATCATGTGTTCAGTATGGAAGATGGGGAGCACAAGTCTGACTGATCCAGGTCGATTCTCCCCCGTCAATGGTTCCGCCTTTTTTGCTTTTTTTTTTTTATCCCTGACGTGGTGGCATTGCATTTTTTTTTATTACCGTTCAATTGATGGGTTGGCGAATGACTTCATCTTAAGGTTGTCAATTGGATCTTGGATTCTTATGAATTCTATTGAGTTGTATGGATATTGGATTTTTGAATTGTTCTAGTCAATCCTATCAACGACCCACTAGACCTAGCAAATGTCGTTTGCTGCCCCTCCCAGTGATCTGCTAATAGTAGCAGATTGTACCTAAATGCATGTGGAAGCTTTGCACACACATATTTCACACTTCCATATATGCTTGTACTGAAGCATGATGTTTGGAAAAGTTTTTCTGGATGCACTAATATACTTTGCAATTCTTCACTGCAAAATCTATGAGACTTCAGTGCCTCAATCCTTGCTTTTTTTAATTTATTCTTATAAAATGCTTACAAGAAATTGATGCAGTAAGTTGTTTCTGAAGTTCATTGTGACTGTATCGTGATCAAATAGTGTATTGCTTTAGTTTTATATAGCTATGTGAGGTATCATAAAGAGGAGTAAATATTAGGTGTAACGGTGACACCATGTCATCAATCCCACGTGGTGTCACCAACCAATTATAAAACAACAAATAGGATTAGTAAACCTAACTATTCTAACATGACAATTATTAAATAAGGTGATTATCGGTAGTTATTATCAGTGGTTGGTGACACCACCAGGTGTCATTGATGACGTGGTGTCAATGTTATATTCAATATTTTCTCCATAAAGAGGGTTGGTAGTTTCCATATTTGCCAATGGTTACCTTGAATTTTCCATGAATGTGTATCAATTAGTAGATTTGTCTCAACAATGATCTCTTTCTAGTTAAACTTTTTCCATCCTACAGATCATTTTCTTCAGTTCATGGTACTTTAATACATGTTCAAAGGGTCCAACAAAGTATGTGGGCTGACTGTTAGGCTCCCTAAGACACTCCCACCCTCCATTTGGGCTTCGGAACAACTATGTAAAGGAAAAAGAGACTAAGCACATCACATGCTTAGTGTTATTTTCCTTCTTTTAAACTGAATTTTTGCTGATCACTTTTCTGGGGTTTACAGCTTTTTTCTAGAAGTGATGATTCCACTGTTCGAGTTTGGGACCTTACAAGCAAGAAGTGTGTGGCAACACTAGAGCATCGATCAACAGTGACTTCATTGGAAGTTTCCGAAGACAGATGGACCTTGCTTAGTGCTGGAAGAGATAAGCATAGCTCAACTCTTTTATGATATTGCTTATTGACATGGCTGTCTTTTGCTACTGACTGTATGCTTTTTGTGATTAGTAACTTTAGGCGCACTATGTTTGTTGTATCCTGGAATTATGCCTCTGCCACTAAAGCTACTCAGATCTGCCGAATTATGGAAAATCCGAAAATTTACTCTGGTTAAAAGTATTCTGAAACTTGAAAAAGTGATTTAGTAATGAAATTCTATTAGTCTCATAATAGGTGTGCTCAAACTGTGTTTATGTCCCATATGTATACCTTTTTTCTCATCATTCAAGCAACATAAAACGAGTATGTTCTCATAAATTGTACATATCCTTGCCTATTTCGATTATGATTCCTGTGATTTTTTCACCTTATTAAGATCGGTCTTGAGCTTGTTACACAAGAATATATAATTTATGTTAATTGTTTGATTTGTCTGTTAGCGTTGTCTCATCCATAAGCCTGGTTGCCTGTTGGTAACTGATGTAATATTTTTCCTTTCAGCTTGTAAACTTGTGGAACCTTCGTGAATATGGCTCCAAGATCACTGTACCAACATATGAGGCGCTTGAAGGCGTGTGTGTAATTGATTCTGGATCTCCTTACGCGTCATGCCTGGCTTCGTGTATCCAGTAACGTGGGAAGAAAAGGGCTGATTCAGCAGCAATTTTTTTTGTTACTGTTGGTGAACGTGGGCTTGTACACATATGGAGTTCTGATGGGAAATATTTCTCGTATTATTTGGAGCTCTCTCATAGATCTTTGTCTTCCATATCTTAACTTTGGTGTTATTAGAATGGAATGGATGTTTTTAATTTGGTCATTTTTTATTTTGAAGCAGTGCAGTGTGCCTTTTTTAGCAGAAGTCCTCGGATGTTACTGTCAGCTCAGATGAGGAAGACTTGAAAAGAGGCTTCACTGCAGTTGTGATGTTGCCTGCAGATCAGGGGTTGCTCTGTGTCACTGCTGACCAGCAGTTTCTTTATTATTCCCTGACAGAACATCCTGAAGGTTGTTTGAAGTTAATCCTAAGCAAAAGGTTTGTTGGATACAACGAGGAAATTGCCGATATGAAATTTTTGGGCGATGAAGAACAATTCCTTGCCGTTGCTACAAGTGTTGAACACGTAAGTTGTCAGATTTTTTAGTTGACGCTAAACTTTCCTTATGCTGGTGCTGTACTGCATGCTCAGTTAGAGGGACCATTTTATTTTTAACATTGGACGGATGTGACATTGTTTTTTTAAGATTAAGGATGTTCCAACTTGCCAGAAGTTTAACGAAGGGGAATAAATGTTTTCAGAATGATAAGTATGTTGTTAGCAACCACTGGAGACCGTGAGATCCAGCAGGGGTTGTTGGATGTCTTGGCTGTGGCTAATCTTTACTTTTTTGAAGATCTAATGGTGGTAGCTGATTCTATTTATCTTTTGTTTATTGTATTCAATATATGGGTTTGACTTCCAAAATTTTCCAATACAAAGATGCAGCATGTGCTGAATGTGTCTTTTACAAAGTTCCAATATGTGTCCCATTTTTCAACATGTCCCAATGGATCTGAAATTTTTGAAAGAATTATGAACACTTTTTTCATGTGTCCTTCGGTGTTTGGCATGAAATCCAATGAATGTTCCTCAACAGTATGTTGGAAGCCGATGAAATCTAGAAAAGAAGATCGTGTTGAACCTGCTTCAGGTACAATAAATAAGGCATGAGCAACCTTACACAATCACTATACATTAGCTTCTTGTTATAGACATCTAAACCTAGTCAACCCCTAATAGTTGGGATAAAGGCTCTATGGAGTTGAGTTGTATAAACATCTAAACCCCAAATATTTTCAATATTAAATTATTTTCATTGTGTGTGTCTATCTTGATGGAATGCGATACCAGATGTCAGATTTTTGTCCCTGATTTGGTTTGTACATATATGCAGGTACGCGTGTATGATCTTGCATCCATGTCATGTTCCTATGTATTGGCAGGTCATACCGTGATTGTTCTATGCCTTGATACATGCGTAACAAGATCTGGAAGAACACGTATTGCGACAGGAAGCAAAGACAATAGTGTAAGTTTTCTTCCACATTCAAGGCGGAGCTGCGTTGTATGTTTTGATTGGAGTTGTCACCAATTTTTTCCTCATTTTTTAATTTGACATTGATTGTGCTTATGTACCGTTGTCATTGTGTATTCTTGGTGTTGTGCCTAGCTGTTTATCTATATTTTGCTTTAATAGGGTTCATGTTTGCTTCTCTAATTCCTTTCTCTTCATAGGTTAGGTTATGGGACTCCGAGAGCAAAAGTTGCATTGGGGTTGGCATAGGTCATACCGGAGCTATTGGAGCTATTGCTTTTTCAAAGAGCAAGCGGAACTTCTTTGTTAGTGGTAGTAGGTAAGTGATTACTCTAGAAATTTCTGCATTTGAGGTGGCCTTTACTCATGAATCTCTATTGAAGCCCTTACTATGATACACATGGATTTTGGTCTTTGTCGTTGGATCTAGATTTTTTTCTAATTATTTTTTGAGGTTTTAGGGTGCTCTTAAGGAGTTGATAAAAAATCATTCAGAAACATTTGAGATTTTGGGGTTCTTTTATGGAGATGATAAAAGATATGCAGTATGGTTAATTTCTTCGCGGTGTTGTGTACGCAGTTCGAAGTTTTATGCACCTCAAAATTGCGTGAGCCAATCTTCTTTCTTTTCAATCACAAAATAGAGGAGATATTTAGGTTGATACGTACACTATTCATTGTTACACAAATAGATGTATACAGATATGTATTTATGTAAATGCCTTTTTTCGGCCTCAACACTCATTTAGGGTATAGTATTCATCTCTCCCTCTTTTTGAATTGTGGAGAAACTAAGAGAATTGATGGTTTTACATTTATATTGAAGGATTATGACTGCACAAGTGAGGAAGAGTGATTCGATACATATCAATTGCAATATAAAGCCAAACGGTTATTTGTTTCACCTGCTCACGAAAACATTTCCATAAGAAAAATTGTCAACAAAATATAAAGTTCTTTTCTAGCCTTTTTACTTATAAATAAGGAAATGGAATTTTTAACGTCTTGGAACAAATATATATGTATGTTGCTTGTACCTCTTTATAGAATAATAACTTATTATAGTATAATTTTTTTTCAAATGATTAAGTACTCTCATAAAACTGAGGGTTTAGTTTTAAACTTCGAAAATTACTCTCTACTCTATTCGTGTATACTGTGAGCAGGGCCTAGAAACTGGTTCCATATTTGCAAGTCATTGCATTGTGTGCCCATGTATGGGTGCCCGTGCACAATCTTAACTTTGGAAGGAAAATTTATTAAAATTGTGAGAAACTTTTTGTTTTAATCTTGAAAACTGTTAAATGTTACTCTCCTTTTGTTGTTTGATTTTTATTTTTTGGGACCTTTTTTGGCTGGTTTTTCTCCTATCTGAAGTTTTGCCAGTGATTCTGCATTATTGTTTGGAATGCTCCTTATTTTAAGTTATTTTAGTCTCTTGATAATTGGAACATTGTTGACTATTCAGCTCGGTAATTTTTGTATCTTGCCATAGCCACTCATTCTGGGTATTACTTTTACTGTGTTTCATGATGATGGACTTAGACATAGTTCTTTCTTTTACTATTATTTAGTGAACCATCGATCCAGAAGAAGAAAAGTATAGGGTTAGTTTGTGTTTGAGTGCTAATTGTCATGTTATGTCCTATTTAGTGACCGTACCCTCAAAGTGTGGAGTTTAGATAGTCTTGCTGATGATGCGGAAGAAGCTTCTAATTTGAAAGCAAAAGCAGTTGTAGCAGCCCATGATAAGGATATAAATTCTTTGGCTGTTGCACCAAATGACAGTCTTGTATGTAGTGGTTCCCAGGTTAGTAACTCACAGTATTGCTTCAAATCTCTCTATTTTTCTACTTCAGGTTGAGGGCTTTCTATTGAATAAAGAGAATATGCCAAGGATAGATAGGGAATGATTTCTTGAGGCTTAGCTGGTATCTTTCTTAAAGTTCCTCTAATTTAATCTCTCTCTCTCAACACATCAGGACCGCACTGCATGCTTATGGCCTCTTCCAGATCTAGTATTTTTGGTGGCACTTAAAGGACACAAAAGGGGGATCTGGTCTGTAGAGTTTTCTCCTGTTGATCAATGTGTTATAACAGCATCTGGAGATAAGACAATAAAGATATGGGCTATATCTGATGGTTCATGTCTAAAGACATTTGAAGGGCACACATCAAGTGTTACTAGGGCATCATTCATTACTCGTGGGACTCAGTTTGTTTCATGTGGTAATGTTGCCTGCAACTGCAAGTCTGGCTTTGTTGTTACTCTGATGCTTTAGTTTGCTGAGTTTTAACCCCTCCACAATGATTCCCATTAGGTGGTGATGGTTTGGTGAAGCTGTGGACAGTTAAAACTAATGAATGCATTGCAACATATGATCAACATGAGGACAAGGTGCTGAAATAGCATGTCATTTTTATTTATAGTTGATTGTATACTAGCATATCCTTTTTCACTTATCTCTATTTTTTATCCTAAAAGAGTAGACGTCTGGATTTTGATGACAAACAGTTTTTTTGGTATACTAATAAGTATCCAGATTTCATTATTGTGTATGTATTTTATGTTTGTTTGTACTTATTTAGAAATTAAATTGTTTTGCAATGATGCTAAAGCAACATGGATGTTGCAACCCCATATGGATTGCACCATTTTATACGATATACTTATGTTTTTTGAATTAGTGATAACTTTGGTCTAAGGCAGCTAGCATCACGTGGATGGATGTGTGGAAATACTAATTATAATAGTGGCCGTAGTAGCAGCAAGAAGAACAAAGTCCTCAAATAATTTCCCAAGTTTAGATGAGAATTTATTGGAGTGTCAACAAATAATAAATTGGTGTATTTAACATATGGCTGGTTCCTGGGTCTTTTTACACACTGCTGTGTCCTTCCAAGTCTTCATGTAAATGCACCTACCACATACCCACATATTGGTAATTTAATGGTTGACCAACAGCATGTCTTATTATGTATATGTTCTCCACAGATGCGCCAGTGTCTGCATAGAAAGCTGCACTCTCGTAGTAATATCTATGTATCTTTGCATTCATTGAAAATGGGGAGTAATGGTGCCTACCACTTTTGTGTTCCTAGAGCCCTCTATAGGAAGGAGAGTTGTCTGCCATATCTGACTTTTTATTCATTGTCATTTGTGTTTAAAGGGGGGAAATCTTTACTTTCATCATCCCTTTCCTCCTGTTTTTTAATTTGATTTTTTCATCATAATCAAAGTACTTGGAATATCTTTACTGCCTAGTTATTTTTTTCTTTTCAGCACTTAGTTATTGAATTTTTTTTTTCCTGTTTCTTGTTTTAATAAATGTCTTATGATTTGAAAATTGTTTTCTGTTTTTGGATACTGTAGTCTTATCATTTGTTGTGATTGCTATCATTTTTATTTGGATGAAAAGTTGTCCTTCTCTTGTTTTGCTCAATGGATCTTGTTGTTCTGCAGATTTGGGCATTAGCTATAGGGAGGAAGACAGAAATGCTTGCAACTGGAGGCACCGATGCAGTGATTAATTTATGGCATGACTCTACAGCTTCTGAGAAAGATGAAGCTTTTCGTAAAGAAGTGAGGCATCTTTAATTTGTTTAATGCCATGATACTTTTATGGGACAAATAGTAATTTTGCTACGGAATTTTGATAAGCCTTTCATATTAACTGGAGGCGATTATGCTGAGGAAATCTGTTATGTTGTTATCACTGACTATTTCAATCATATTTTGGAAAGAAATCTTTGTAAAATATCCATTGTATTACATTTATTGCTGTACTTAGTACGTCAACATTCATTTTTTATTGTCAGGATTATGCTATGTGATTGGCACATGGCACATGGGGAGTTTGGGCATCAGTAGTTTTAGCCAGGCATTGATTTGGTGTTTGGATGCCTAAATGGAGTTTTTAACTACACTTTGGTCTATAATTCTTCAAGTCAAATGCCATGGCATGCAAAACTATCCAGTACATGTATAAGGGTACGGGCATGTGTAGTGATGGCCACCTGCGTGTAAGCTCTCCATTTATTAGACTTGATATTCCCCCTTCCACCAAGGTGTGGCTTTAAAGATAGATTTTGAAAAAGCATATGATCATGTGAATTGAGACTTTTTGGATTTCATTCTTGAAGTAAAGGGTTTTGGAATTAAATGGAGGAGTTGGATTAAGGGGTGCTTAGAGGCAATGAATTTCTTGGTGAGGCGTAAATGAGAAGCCTAGAGGGAGATCTAATATCACTAGGATTCTTAGGCAAGGGGATCCATTGTCACCATTTTTGTTTACCTTGGTGGTGGATGAACTTAGTCATTTAGTAGATAGGGCTATGGAGTATAATCTTATAAAGTGGAAGGGAACCTTGTTGGGGTGTCACGCATACAGTTTGGAAATAATACTATCTTTTTTCCTATTTGGTGATGTGGTTCGATTTCAGAATTTAGTGAATATATTTGATGTTTTCAGGTTGATGTTGGAGTAAAGAGTCAATATATCAAAGAGTTTGATTATATGATTTAATGGTCATAATGAAAAGTTAGATATGATGTATGGGAGGGTAGGTTGTGAGGTGGGGATTGGCCCCATAAGTACCTCGGGCTACTGTTGGGGGGTTAATCCTTTGTCCTTAGGCTTTTGGAACCCCGTAGTTGAGAGGATGCAAAAGAAATTGAAAGGGGAAAAAAGGGGTTGTTTATGGGAAGGAGGAAGACTTATTTTGGTATAGGCAGTGTTCGCTACCATTTCTATTTATTATTTGTCTTTGTTTAAGATCCCTAGAAAGATAGCATACTTGATTGAAAAAGATGAGACTTTTTGTGGGAAGGGAGTGGGGACGAAAAGAATGAACATCTTGTTAGGTGGGAGGTGGTGTCAAAATCTAGTATTAGAGGAGAGTTTGGGGTGGGGAATTTGGTAAAGATAAATGTTGATTCGTTAGGAAAGTGGTTGCGGAGGTTTCCACGTCTTTGTGGCATGTTGTTATCAAGAGCAAATATGGACTTACACTTAATGTGTGACATTTAAATGTGGTGGTTAGAGGCTCTTGTCGGTGTCCTTGGAAGTTTATTTCATAGGGTTTCAATAGTTTCAAGGAGTATGTTAAGGTGGGAGTGGAGGATGGTGAGAGAACTTGTTTTGGGGAATATTTTTGAATTGGAGATTCTCCTTTTGCTTTGTCTTTCCCTAGGTTGTTTAGGTTGTCCCGGTCTCACAGAGTGTCCATTGCCAGTTGTTATTGTGCTCATGATTCCCAAGGGGAATAGAATTTTAACTTCTTAGGGCCTTTAATGAAAGGGGAATATTTTAATTTTCTTCTTCATTGACTGTGCTCAATTCAGTTGTACTTGTTCCTAGGAGGAGGGATAAAAGGGTGTGGGTCTTTGATTCATCTAGTGACTTTTCTTGCAAATTTTACTTCCATGCATTGATTGATGATCCATCTTGTCTAGTTTTTGAATCTCATAAGATGATTTGAAAGGCTAAAGTGCCTATCAAGGTGTAGATTTTTGCATGGACCGCATCTCCTAGAAAGCTCAACACTAAAATTTTTTGCAAAGGAGAAGACCAAACTCTTGTCTTTCTCCCCAATGGCGTGTGATCTGCAAAAGTTGTGTGAAAGTGTGGATCATCTCTTTCTCCAATGTTCAGTGATCTTGATGACGTGGTATAAAAGACCTTTGGGAGTTTAGTTTGATTTGGGTTTTCCCAAGAGGATGTGTCGATTTACTTGTGACATCCTATGGGTTCTTTAGAAAAAAAAAAAACTTTATTTTGTGGGAGTGTGTGGTTATGGCTATTTTTTGGGTGGTGTGGAAGGAAAGGAGTTGTAGAATCTTTGAGGATAAAGAAGATTGTGGGAAGATGTACAGAGGAAAGTTTTTGGCTTTTCTTTGGGCTTGCAAAGAGTTTGAGGACGTATCTTTGTATGCCCTCAATCTAGATTTGACAGCAACCCGTAGTTAGGTTAATTTTTCTTGAGTGTTTTTTGACTTAGTTTTCCCGATATATTTTTCTGTTGTCTTCGCATTGGGTCGACACCTTGCCCACTACAATGTACTCTATATATTGTACTTAATGGAAGTTTTGTTTCCCATCAAAAAAAATATGTATATCCCCCTTCCATCCGTTCCAAAATACGATTCTATGGTACTCATTTTGCCCTTTCTTACTTTCCAGTTTGATATTATTAGTTTAACTGATGGAATTGCTGTGTTGGTGATGCAGGAGGAAGGTGTTTTAAAAGGTCAAGAGCTAGAAAATGCTGTATCAAATGCAGATTACACCAAAGCAGTCCAAATTGCCTTTGAGCTACGCAGGCCTCATAAGCTGTTGGAGTTATTTGGAGACATTAGCCGGTAAAAATCTCTCCTCCCTTCTCTTGGGTCGTCAATGCGGCATGCAGTTACCTTCTCTGAACCCAAATCCTCTGCAAGAAGAGACATGCTGAAGGTCAGATTGAGAAAGCTTTTCATGCTCTTGGCAAAGAGGAATATCATCTACTTTTGGAATACGTTCGAGAATGGAATACAAAGCCAAAGCTCTGCCATATTGCTCAATTTGTGCTTTTTCGGGTTTTCAACATGCTTCCTCCAAAAGAGATTATCGAGGTACTTACTTTGACTTCTCCAGGTCACAAACTACAGATATAGACACAAGTACATTATATTACCTTTTGTCTTGGTGACTTTGAACTATACAGGATGTCTAGGGACATGTATATGCACTATGATAATTTAACAGGGACTTGATATGTTTCTGCTGGGACCTCCTTTCAAAATTATGTGCAGGGGATCTAGATATTTTTCTTTTGGGGATAAATTACCTGATCAAGTGTAATTAGTTGTCGCATGACTACCGCATCTGATTCTTCCAGCTTGTTGACAAGTGTAGGCATCTCTTTTCTTTGCGCTGTTAGGGTCTTGACACATGAGTTGGACATAAAACCCAAAAAAAAATGAAGAATGAAAAAAGGAAAACAGAACGTGATCGTGCACGGAAAAGCAGTAGATATATATTTGCCCCCAGTTGCTTTTAACTCAGAAAATTATATGAACTTGGAAAATTCATCCAACCTCTGTAACTTTGTGAATGATTCCTATCAGAAAAATGTGAATGATGGCTTTCCTGTTTTGTTTGGCATTGTTTTAGATACGAGGCATTGGAGAACTCCTTGAAGGTCTTATCCCATATTGTCAGAGGCATTTCAGTAGGATAGATAGGCTGGAAAGAAGCACATTCCCCTTACAGGAATGTCTGTTATTGAACCAGAAATTGAGGAAAGAGAAATAGAAGACAAGTTTGTGAAGCATTCCAAGGATGCAGATGAGGAGCAATTAGCTAAAACTGCAATGGTGGAGCAGGATCATGCAGAGCAGAAAGAGAAGAGTTCTTCGAAAAAACAGAAATCCCACAAATCCAGAGATGTTGCCAATAAGAAAGTCAAAGGAGTGGATTTTATTTGAATAGTTGAGCCATTGCATCTAAGGCATAACACATCTCAGATGCTTTAACAATGATTCAATGTATTTGTTAGTTTATTTATCCGTTGCCATCTAATGCTCATCCTAGAAGTTTGGCTTTTTTTTTTTTTTTTTTTGTGGTCGTTAGAAGTGGGGCTTGTTGCTCTACAAAATTTTGTATGATGCCAATTTTGTTGAGTCTAACTGCAGAGAACACATTTTTAGTGGGATTTCATCGTGTCTTTCAAATTTATTGTATATTAATTATTCTGTGTAAAAATATTTGAACCATCTGTTCTTTGAAACACTCTCCTAAATATAGTTGTATCAGGAAATGTGGATGATTGAGCTTCGCTGCGAAAAGTCGTGGGAGAAAAAGAAAAACCAGAAGTCTTTCTTTGTTGAGGCCCATGTAGGGAGGTTTGCTGGAGAATATAAGTGGATTCTATTTATCCAACTCTTTCAGAAAGCAGCAACTCTGCTTACTAAATTTATGCTTAAAGTCACTATCTGAAGATGATCAAACAGATGATTATGGCTTTGTAACGGCCTTGGCCCCTAGTAATTTCCAACTTTGTTCTAAAAGGAATAATAAGGGGCAGCAAATTGATGTGGTCATCCCAATACTAATCAAAAAAAAAAAAAGAGAACAGAAAGGACAACCAAAAATGGGGGTGAAAATAAATCATTATATGGCTGGTGAAACTCGAACCCAAGCGATAGAACTGGGACTTACTACCCATCAAACAAACTACAAAATTTAAGAGATGTACCTACCCTTAAATACTTTAGTTAATATAGAGAAGGGTGATGTGCTGGCCCTTGGGCATTGCGGATTACGGGTTAAGGATTTGAGTTTATTGTTCTTTTGCTCCACTCCTCATCATTCTTATCCTATTTTTTATTTTTATTGTTTTTGTTATGTTTTGAAATTTTATTTTTATGTGCGTAACTAATCTAATGTGTACTTTGATTTCAGTTGTTAGTAGAATAGACGAGATAAGCTTGAAAGTCGAGTTTAGGAGCGAAAAGTTAAGTATATCTATTTGTGTAAATTTGATTGGCTTTCTTTTACATGTGAAATGTGTTTTACACATGACTATTTCTATATTTTCTTGTGTTTCTTACTTGTTATGATCAGTGTTTCTATTATTTTCAATTCTCAACGCTCTCATTATCCCACTATTTGTTTTTCATTTTTCGTTATTGTTTTCATGTTTTACACAACCTATAATTGCATAGCATTTCTTAGATTATATGTGCTTTGTTTGTTTTTCTATTAGATTAATTATGTTTTTTTTTTTTTGGGTTGTCAGTTTATAGTTAGGGGTTGGAGATTAGGGCTTAGGGAATAGGGATTTGGGATTAGGGATTACAGATTAGAGACATGATTAATCTTGAGCTTTGTGACATGATTAATCAGGACAAGATCAATAGTGTTGATTTGATACGTGGGATAAAGAAGCGGATCATGTTGAAGAGCCCTAGGGTTCAGTACTTGGCTTTGGTGTTGCTTGAGACTGTTGTTAAGAATTGTGAGAAAGCATTTTCGGAGGTTGCAGCCAAGAGGGTGCTTGATGAGATGGTGAAGCTGATTGATGATCCTCAGACTGTTGTTAATAATCGGAACAAGGCTCTGATGATGATGGAAGCATGGGGGGAGTCTTCTAATGAGCTCCGGTATTTGTCTGTTTACGAAGAGACATACAAGGTATTCCTACAGCTTGAACATAACTACTTATTTGTACTGCTTTAGTTTTTTTTTTCCTGGTTGCAATTCAAGACTGAGGTCATGATAAGAACAGATAATCTATAAAAGTTTGTCTCTCATTTGTTACTAATAAAATCCTCACAACTTGGCCAAATGCTTTTAGGCACTGTTGGTAATTTTCAAGTAGATGAAGGAATGGTTCAATTGGATAGAGATAGTTTGCATAAAAGTGTAATGGTTTGAAGAACTTACACAGTATGAATTGACCTATCAACTATATGGCTCAATTTCAATTCCAAAATTAATTAAGTTAGTTCGTAGTTGTAGGTAATTCATGTTATATTTATTATTTCTTTCTTCTCTAGGGACACTCATTTATTTATTTACTTATTCCTTTTGTAGAGCTTGAAATCAAGAGGTATAAGATTCCCAGGTCGTGATGATGAGAGTTTGGCTCCTATATTTACTCCTCCTCGTTCAGTCTCCGCTTCAGAATCAAATGTTAGTCTTGCCCAACAAATTAATCATGAGATTCCTGTGCAAACCTTTTCTGTTGAGCAAACAAAGGAAGCTTTTGACGTCATACGAAATAGTATTGAGCTTCTTACCACTGTTATATCATCTTCACCGCAACAAGATGCTTTGAAGGTACTTTTTATTCATGATGGTAAGTCATAATAGCTTATGTAATGAGTTGCACATTAGGTAAAATGCACAATAGCATCATCTTTTAGAGTTCTTGCATCCCCATGATTAGCATGGTTAATTATAAGGCACCGACCTTTCCTAGTTTTTTTGTTTTTACCAAACTTAACATTCTGATAGTCTAATGGGCCCAGTTATCTAGCTCAACTAAAATACATTTACTTTCTTCATTTTAGTCAATGTTGTGTAACAATTGTGGTACGTATGACATTGCATTTTTGCACAACATTAGTTTGCTGATTTTCACACTGAGCAATGGTTATTTAATGTGATTGAGCTCTAGATTGGAATTTTAATGTTGTGTGTGCCACTTTTACATGGTATTTAAGATGTGCTCTTTTGCTACCACTGACCCACCCCAGGAAAGTCCGAACTGAGGGCCAAAAACACCTATTCTGCCAATATTTNCAAAAACACCCATTCTGCCAATATTTCAAGGATTAATATTGCTTTCTTGGTCTCCAACTAGCTTAGAAAAATGAAAAATCGTAGTTTGAAACTTTCTACTTGAGTAATGTATCAAATGATTTTGTATCTTCGCAAATGCAAACATGGAGATATGCAATGTCTACCGCTATCGATAGCACTAGAAAGCTGGTGAGAAAGTGGACAATTTGGGTAAGTTAAGAAACTAGCAGAGGTTGCCCCTTTTCATGGAAAAATCTAAATGTCGAAGGTCATACTTGGTGGCATAACCCAAATGTGCACCGACTANACTTGGTGGCATAACCCAAATGTGCACTGACTGCTCAGCTTAAAGCAACCCATGGTAGTCTACAGATTTGTCTCTAGTGGTCCAACATCTCAACACCTTCATGGTGCTATTGATGAAAACTTGATCTGCTAGAAAAAGTCGCTACTCTTCTAATATCTTGTAATATTGTAAGTACCAATGTTTTGAATTTTTTGGTGTTTTCACAATGGTTGCTCACAATTAGATGTTTCTTAGTATTGGTATGTTGGGGTTGTGGAACTTGTTTTATCGCCACCCCTAAAAAAGAGGCATATTGGTTTAGTGTAAAGACTATATTTAAGGTTTCTTTGTGAAGCTAGCGGTGGTTGCAGCCATGAATTCAAATAGAATGTTAACATTGAAACTGAGGTCGAGGGAAGGGAAAAATGGCTGAGGATTTATTTCTTCCAAGCTGGGAGAATGATGGGTTTTTTACTGAAATTTTTATAACTCTTTTATCTTGTATAACAAAAGGATTTTTTGTCGTTATTGTATGATATTTCATTAAAGCTTTACGGTTTGGGATTTTGTTTATGTCAGTGGAGCTGTAAGAGTTATTCTTCAAGATTGTTTCTATGGTTTCCGAATACGGCCATGTTCTTCACTTCCTTTTGTTAAGATAATATTTACTCGTATAAGAATGCTGCTGTCATGCTTGTGGATGAAGGAGATCTAGAAGTTGATTGACAAATGATTTGGGGATGGAGATGGATGTAAACTTATTAATACTCTTTTCTTTGTTTGCAACTGCTTCGAAAAATCATCGTCTAATAATATATTGTCTGATTTTGCATATTTTTGGTTTTGCAAGATGAAAATGGAGGCTTGGCAAAACTGTTTGTAGTTTGACCTCTTGGCTTCTGCGTAGAAATGGAGTAACCATGCTATTAAAAGAATCTATTTGACATGGTTCACTTTCTGAACAACTTCGTCATGCTATTGAGTATTGATGATAAGATAACGCACTCATCTTGGAAGAGGTGGTTGCATATAGGTATGGATGTAGCAGTGTGACGACCGACATGCATTTTGGGTCCATTGTGATTGTTGTTTACAGGTATATCAGTTTTCCAATGTCACTAAACACTCATGCCAGGTATATTAGTTTTCCAACGTTGCTAAACACCCATGCCAAACAAAAAAAAAAAAAACAGACTCGTTTTTTTTTAGATTGCTTTAGTTGGATTATCAGATGTGTTCGTCAGGAATTTATTTGAGAAAGAATTTAGTGCTTCCAACGGGGAGAGCTATAGTTGTTGGTTGCATTTGTGAAAAAGTTCATTCAGTGACCCATTCTGTATAACACATGATTTTTTTGAAACCCTGAAAGTGCCAGACTGGTAACCAGGCTAACTTAATTGACCTTAGGCTATTGCTTACTGTTGGTATTTCATTTTGTACATCTGTACTAAGTCATTTTGGAGCCCATGCTATGCATTAGTGCAGAAGTTTGATAATTTTTTTCCCCTGTTCAAAATTTGGAGTTTTCTAGCTGGTGGTATTGCTACTGGTCAGATTGTGATATTCAAGTCAATGTTTCCTCCACATTTCTAAACACTTTCCGAATTGTTTTGGCAAGATGACTTGACAGCCACACTTGTGCAACAGTGTAACCAGTCCCAATTTACTGTGCAGAGAATCATTGTGACCGCTGGGGATAATGAGGCCTTGCTCTTTCAAGCCTTAAATGTGAATGATGAAATTCAGAAAGTCCTATCCAAGTACGAAGAAATGAATAAATCCTCAGAGATTCCCCGGGAGCCAAAACCTACAATGATATCTATTGCTGTTGTGCCTGATGAATTGCCTCGTTTAAGCTAAGGTTCACAGTATCAGCCGAGTCGGATACAACTCGGTTGAGGCATATTCGTCTCGGCAGCCACCGATCCGATAACGATACACAATTCAAGACTATAACGAGTTTGCCAGGAATCGGTTCTGACTCGGCCTAACTCGGACAAACTCAGATTCAACTTGGTCCAACTCGGTCGATTCACCTCTGAATTGAACGATACCCATCGAATCGGCCACCCACTTTCAGGCAACAAAAAAATGCCAAAAAAAGGCAAAAAAAAGAAGAAAAATTGAACCACAAATCAGACCCCTTTTACCATAATAAAAATAGAATAATAAAGTGAGATCCAATTTGAACAGAAACCTAAAAAATTATGGTAAATCTCCTTAATCTGAGAGACTTTCCTACTATTTGTTCTCCTTTTTCTTTTTCTTCGCAGTAGAAGAGGACCAACATCATCGATCGACTTCGCAGAGACGATCGAACGATGACAGAGGACCCAGCTAGGAGAGACTACTCCATCTACTTCGCAGTAGCAGATGATGATCGAACAATGAATTCTTCGTAGTAGCAGAGACAACAGCTCCAGCCCTAGGCGTCTTCTAGTGATCACCAGTGGGTTCTTCAAATCCACTTTCAGATTCTTCTCTCTATCTCTCTCTCTCTCTCTTGATCGATCGATCGATCGATACACAGCGTCTCTGAAGGACCAAAGTTCAAACAGAGGCTTTTAAAGACTCTGGTTTCTAGTGACTCAATTGTATTTGGAATAATTATATTTATATCCTTTAAAGTTTGTTACTCAATCACTTAGACCCCTAATATTTAAAATATTACACACAAACTCTTAAAATTATACGCAATATAAATATATCTGTTAATAAATTATATTCAGAACCCTAAAATTTATAAACATATATTACTTAGACCCCTTATGTTTCATTTTAATTATGTTGAATGTGTTTTTGGATTTATTGTGGGCATATGATATATGAATGATGATGTTTATATTTTTCAAAAAATTTTATGATTTTTCAAATTTTTTTAGAACTTCTATCTAGCTTTTTGAGCGTATCGGCCGATACTGCACCGCGACGGTGCGATTGATGTGTATCAATGCCCTCCGAGTTGATGACCGATATCATGACTTTGAACCATAGTTTAGGCAAAGAAGAGGCCCTGATAAGAAAACCAACGGGCTCTCGTGGTGGAGCCCCGTGAGGGAGCAATGATGACATGATGGATGATCTTGACGAGATGATCTTATGTAAGAAAGCAGGTGGAACATCTGAAGTGGGGCATGATACAAAAAAGCAACAATCATCACCAAAAGATGATCTGATCAGCTTTTGAATTTCATCTACAGATAAAATTTTCGGGGTGGAGCAGAAGAGGCCTTTGATGATGTTTGACATCAGTCCATTTAGGTGTTGGCATGAAGTTCAATGACTAAAACCATTATGAACGAGACTGCATACTTTGTTTCTTTTTCTTTTTTTCACATGGTTTAATACTTAAGACTCCTATTTCATTGTTAAAGCATATATTGTGGAAGTAATTCATGCTTTAGCTTGGTTGGATTGTTCACGAGACATGTGACAATATGTTTAATATGAAAATATCTAGTTGCGGTGGGATCTAATGTTTGATGTAGTTGTGTAAATGGATGATATGCTTATATACATCCTGACCTGTTCGTTTGTATTTTGGTTCTCATCTTTGCTGCATTGCATTTGCCTAGTGATGTCATGGTGTTGGAGGATGGGTACGGTTTCGCTTCTTTTCATTGACCCAACCTAAGGAGATGGAAAACAAGTCTCTGCCTGAGATATATTTGTTGTGGCAGTGCATGATTTACTAAATTGATATCAAACCTAGTAATGGCATAGCATTGCAAGGGGCTTATAGGTATACAAGTATAGTAGGGTGGAAATAAGTTTTGTTAAAAAATAGGGTAAATTACATTCATTTTGGTGCTTATGCATTTGGCAAGCTGTTGATCGAAGTCAACATGAACATGCCAATGGGATATGAAAGAGCCTCCCTTAGTCCCCTCTTTTCTTTTGACATTTTCTCTTTGATGGGTATATATAGATAAGGAGATAGGGAAAAAAAGAGGCAAATGCGTCTCATGATCAAACATTCTTCCAATCGTAAGAAAGCATTTAGTTGAAGTCAAGGCAACAACTCACATCCATGAAGGTGTCCCCATCATCACATTACGACTGATGATCCATTCTATAAAAAGGAAACTAAATTATTTTGTAACTTAGGATACTGTGTGTTTTTGGTGTATATAGTGTAAGTAGAATTGAACTCAAATAAATATTGTAGTCCCTTCAGGGACATCCGATAAAATTAAAACGATATAGAGAAGATTAACAATTTTCTGCAACGAAATTGTAACATGAGCTAGTGAGGTCCTTGTCAATGCACTGTGATAGCTATTACAGTTAGAACCAGGAGCTAGGTTCTAAATATGAGAATATACACAAGTGCTAGCTAGTGTTCTTTTGAAGTGATGGAGGGTTATGTTTTTAGTGGGATATATCAAAGCATACAATTTTAAGACTTTCAATTATTTCAACTGTTTCTTCAATGGGATACCAAACAAAGTCCAAACTTCAATCATCCCAAAAGATTTGTCAACGATAACAAATTGATCATGCAATCAATTGTGATCCACAAAGCCCGTGAGAAGCAACCATTGCCACAACTGTAACCTGGGGTCCCATCCCATGGTTTTGCATGATTGACCATTTTTATCATTTGAAGTTCATATATATATATATATAGGGGAATCTAAGGATGATAGGTTGAAGTTGAAACCAAGTGATGATAGTATTGTTTGCAACTGTTGCTTCTTTTTCAGTGAGGTTACATGTTCATGGCACTGTGTGTTTCCTTTCATCGTAGTCAAGTTATTGAAACAGTGAAAATTGCAATCCAACTAAGTAAAATAAAAAGTACATGTTGTCTAGAGTCTAAAATAATTGGCGGCGCTGAATTCCGACTCTCTTATAATTTATTATAAATTTTTTTGAATTCTTTCCTCAAATGGAAAAAAAGGATTGTCAAAGAATTATAAATTGTGGTAAAATTATTAAAAAAAAAAAAAATAATAAATTGCAATCCAACTGATTAAAATAAATAGTATGTATTGTTTGGAGTCTGAAAAATTGGCGACGCTGAATTCGTACCCTCATATTATTTATTATTAATTTTTTTATTTTTCCTCAAATGGAAAAAGTGGGATTATCAAAGAATTAAAAATTACACCTAAATAATTAGAAAATAGAAAATTGCAACCCAACTAATTAAAATCAAAAGCACGTGTTGTTGTCTGCCGTCGAAAAGAATTTGGGAGCGCACAATTCGCACTCTAATTATGATTTATTGTTAATTTTTTAAATTCTTTGCGGATGGGATTGTCAAAAAATTATAAATTGTAGAAAAATTATTAAAATATATAAAATCGCAATCCAAATGATTAAAATGAAAAGTAAGTATTCTCTGGAGTTTAAAAACATTGGTGGCGCTGAATCCAGAATCTCCAACGATTTATTGTTAATTTTTTGAATTCTTTCCTAAAATGGAAAAAATTGGATTTTCTAATAATTAAGAATTGGACGAAAATTATTATAAAATATAAAATCGCAATCCAACTGATTGGAAAAAAAAAACGTACGTGTTATCTGGAGTCTAAAAAAATTGGTGGCGCTGAAATTTGCACTCTACTATGATTTATTATAAAATTTTGAAATTCCTTCCTAAAATGAAAATAAGGAATTGTAAGAAATTAAAAATTGAAGAAAAAATTTTAAAATATGGAAATTCGCAATCCAAATCCTTAAAATTAAAAGTGAGTATTGTCTGGAGTATAAAAAAATTGGCGACGCTGAATTCGGGAACTATTATGATTTATTATTAAATTTTTGAATTCTCTACTAAAATGAAAAAAGGTTTATTGTCAAATAATTAAAAGTTCGAGAAAAATCATTAAAATATAGAAAATCGTAATTCCAATGACTAAAATAAAAAGAAAGCATTCTCTGGAGTCTAAAAAAATTTGGCAGCGCCTAATTCAAACTCTCGTATGATTTATTATTAATTTTTTGAATTCTTTCCTAAAATGGAAAAAAGGGATTGTCAAACAATTAAAAATTACAAAACAAATTATTAAAAAACAAACAATTGCAATCCAAATGATTAAAATAAAAAGTAATTATTGTCTGGAGTCTAAAAAAAATGCCAGCGCAAAATTCGAACCCACCCACGATTTATTATTAATTGTTGGAATTACTTCCTAAAATGGAAAAACGGGATTGTCAATGAAAAATTAAAAAAATTGGCGGCGCTGAATTTGGATTCAACTATGATTTATTATTAATTTTTCGAATTTTTTTCTACAGGTCAAATAATTAAAAATTACAGTAAAAAATAGAAAATTGCAATCCTACTGATTAAAATTAAAAGTACTAATTGTCTGGGGTATAAAAAAATTGGCAGTACTAAATTCGGACAGTCTTATGATTTATTATTAATGTTTTGATTTTTTTTCCTAAAAAGGAAAAAAGGGATTGTCAAATAAAGAAACAATGAAAATTGCAATCCAACTAAGTAAAATAAAAAGTACATGTTGTCTAGAGTCTAAAATAATTGGCGGCGCTGAATTCCGACTCTCTTATAATTTATTATAAATTTTTTTGAATTCTTTCTAAAATGGGAAAAAA